ACGTGGCAATGCACACTTGTTTTTACATCGTAAAAACCCATGTCTAGTGATGTGATTGTGATGCTGTAATTCTGAGTGTTTTATGTGCTGCAGAACAGGAACCTGCTGTAAAACAGCAATTATGCTGAGTCAGGCTTGATTTTTAATAATCTTTTCCTGTTAAATAAATCAAATCAAATCAATCTAGGAGGCACAGTTTATATGGATAGTATTTATTTTTTTACGATAACAAGCTGGAATGAAAACAAGCAAGAATGAAGGAAAAGTAACGACTTTCTACTTCTTGCCTTTTTTAAAAATGTAAGGAGTAAAAGTAAAAAGTAAACTGAAAAATAATTACTCAAGTAAAGTACAGATACCAAAAAAATCCTACTTAAGTAAAGTAACAAAGTATTCCTACTTAGTTACTTTATAACTTTGCCTAGATATGATAGTGTGTTTTTTAAATGTTTTTTCAGAGTTTTTACAAGTTTGTTGCCATGTCAGGCTTTCTTGTAGCTAAATTGAAAAGAATAGCCAAAAATAAACAAACAAACAAACAAACAAATAAATAAAGCAGAAAACAACAAAGAGAATGCATTCTCAGAAAAATCAAACCTCTTTTCTGGCTCAGATTCTCTGTCAGTGTTAAAATAAAATGATGGTTTTTGAACAACAAAGCTTTTAAAAAGCTGCCCTGGTCACACACGTGTGTTTTCCTTGTTTCCACCGTGTTGCTAAAATCACAGAACACAGCAGCTTGTACCAGTGTTCACAGCATCTCCAGTGAGAAATCCTGTTTATTCTAATGCCTGATGCTTTTTGACACTGAGAAAATAAACAGCCTGTGTGAATGAAAGAAGGAAATCTATGTTTTCTGTTCCAACCACTGCAAAGAAAAGAATTCCTTTGCGTCTGTGCATTTCCCCTTTTTGCATTAGTCTATTTTGAGCTTTGTTACTACACCTCACCTTCCCTGCTTTTCATCTCACTTCTCCCTAAATGTGAGAAAGTTTAAAGCAACACCTGCAGCTGTTAGCTCCACATGATGAGGGTTGGTAGTTGTGTCAAACAGCACTGCACTGTCAAAATAAAGAGATGCTGATCAATAATTAAAACAGATCAGTTTCTATAATGAGACGATAAACGGGGTGTGAATGCAGCGGAAAGCAAGAAGACATTTCAGGATGATGAGCACTAATTGAAAAAAGAAAGATTCAACAAAAGATGGAGCTTCTCCCTGGTGAAGGACAGAAGTTGCCATAGAGACTGGAGAGGGAACTTTAGGTGTTTGGGTGAAATAATTCAACAGTGAGGTTGCAGCTCACCTCTCCTGCAGCACACGACCCGGAGCTTTCAGAAAGGGACCTTTTCAGTTGATTTTACTGAGCTGCAACTCTCTGCATGAGTGGTGAAATGTTTTTATGG